ACAGGTGGTGGGGGGTTGCGGGGGGCCCGGGACGCGCCATTGCACTCCAGCCCGGGGAAACGGGGAAAACCCCTTCTAAAAAAAAAAAAAAAAAGACATGTTTTGGAGGTAACGTTGTCAGGACTTCCTGAAGGATTAGATGTGGAAGGGGAGGAAAAGAAACAGACCGAGGATAACTTTCACATGTATGTTTAAGCAACTAGATGGATAATGATGCCATTCAGTGAGTAAAAGATTTTATGGAGGTGAAAGATTCAGAGTTCTTTTCTATCTAGGTTAATTTGAGACATAGTCAAGTAAGTAATTGAATATTGGAGTGGAGACTTAGTTGTCTACCAGAATTACTGGTTTTTTTTGTCGGTCATACACCAACACTGCATTCCTCAAGTAAAATAAGCGTGTCTGTGTGCCTGTGCTCTCCCCAGTGGAAAGTGAGCAGAAGAGGTGCGCGCAGTTTCCAGGCCTGGCCCATACAGACCTCCAACAGGTGTTCGCCTATGCTCTTACTCCTTCTGCCAACTGGAAGCAGATGGTGATCAGGCTCTGGAGAAGGCAAGGCCTGAAGATGGGAGATTCCTGAGTGGAGGAGAACTGTGCCTTACTGACCTGAATATCAACTCATTATTGTTATGTGGGAATAAACAAACTTGTGCTGACCTTTTACATACTTTGAGTCTTTTATTCTAGCAGCTTTGCCTATGCTACCTAATGTGAGTAAGAGCAATTATCCACTGTTGAACTTTGAGAGAAAATTTTCAAATGACTTGAATTGACATCTGTAACAGGAAATATGCGTGCAAAAGTAATTGTGGTTTTTGCCATTTAAAAGTAATGGCAAAAATAACGAGAAAAAAAAACAATAAAAGTAATGGCAAAAATTGCAATTGTTTTTGTACCAACCTATGGAAGATGCCTTGGATTTATTCATTCATTTCATCCAGTAAGAATTTCTGTCTCTCTGCCAGGCTCTGTGTTGTATAATAGAGACGCAGAGATGAAGAGACAAGGTCCCTGCCCTCAAGCAGCTTTTAGTCTAGCTGCTCAACTTACTGACTTATTTGCACATGCTTTCCCACTACCTAGAAACTCACTCTTCCCTTCCCTCCTAACACACACATACACAGCCTCATTTCTACTCATTCGTCAACTTTACTTTTTTTTTTTTTTTTTTGAGACAGCCTTGCTCTGTGAGTGCCATGGTATTATCCCAGCTTACTGCAACCTCCACCTCCTGAGGTAGGGGAATTCTTTTGCCTCAGCCTCCCAAGTAGCTGGAATTACAGGCACACCGAATTTTTGTATTTTTTGTAGAGACAGGGCTTCGCCATGTTGGCCAGGGTAGTCATGAACTCCTGACCTCAGGTGATTCGCCCACCTCGGCCTCCCAAAGTGCTGGGATTACAGGTGTGAGCCTCCACGCCTGGCCTCAGCTTCATTCTTGATAATTTTTTTTAGAAAGACATGCCTTGCCCATATCCTCCTTTCCTAATGTAAATCAGATGTTCCTATTATCTTATAACTTAATAATCTCAACAAGAGAAAGAATCTTATTTGTCTTACTCTTCATATGCCTCTAATACCCAGTCCATTGTAGGTCCTTAATAAATTCATCTATTGACGGAATCAATGAATGGAGAAGGCAGAACTCTGAAGGAAGAGGTTTCTTCCAATGAAATTCCTCCATTTTTTGCTGGTGAGGCAGCCCTGGTTCACAGCCTCCAGTGATGCTCACCTCCTGGTATTTATGATCTTGTGTAATCCCCTTACTTTTCAGGTGGGCTGGATCAAGTGCTTTGCTTCCGATGAAGGGGTGTCATGTTCAAGATTAGGTTACAGAAACACTCTGGCTTCCATCGGGGGCCCTCTCTGACTTTTACTCATTTGCTCTTAAGGAAGCCAGCTCACTTGGTTCCTAAGGCTGCTGTAACAAATTACCACAAATTGGGTGGCTTAAAACAACAGAAATTGATCCTCAAAATTCCAGATGCTAGAAGTTTGTAATCAATGTGTCAGCAAAAGCCAGGCACGGTGGCCCACTCCTATAATCCCAGCACTTTGGGAGGCCAAAGCAGGCGGATCACTTGAGGTCAGGAGTTTGAGACCAGCCTGGCCAACATGGTGAAACCCCATCTCTACTAAAAATACAAAAAAATACAAAAAAAAAAAAAATTAGCCAGTTGTAGTGGTGGCTACTCTGGAGGCTGAGCCAGGAGAATTACTTGAACCAGGGGGCAGAAAAGTTGCAGTGAGCCATGACCACACCACTGCACTCCAGTCCAGGAAACAGTGACACTCTGTCTCAAAAAAATAAAAAAGTAAATAAAAAATAAAGGGTCAGCAAAGCCATAGCAATGTTCCCTCTGAAGACTACAGGGAAGACTCCTTCCTTCTGGTGGCTCCAGACAGTCCTTGGCATTCTGTAGCATGCTTTGGCTGTGTCACTCCAGGCTCTGCCTCTGTCTTCACATGGCCTTCTCTGTGTGTCTCTGTGTCCTCTCCTTTTATTAAAACACCAGTGGTTGGATTTAGGGCCCAACATCATCCAGTATGAACTCATCTTAATCACATCTGCAAAGACCCTATTTCCAAATAAGGTCACATTCTCAGCTTGTGTGCGAACATGAATTTTAGGGTGATATACTATTCAGTCCACTACAGTTGCCCCTGTAAAGGGGCCCACATTTTGAGGAACTGTCTCTCACCAGCTGCCAGTGAGTACCTAAGGACTGCCAACACACACATGAGCTTAGAAAGGATACCTACCAAGTTGAGCCTTTAGCTAATGGCATCCCCAGCCCACAATTTGATCGCAGCCCTATGAGAGACTGTATGCCAGAGGCACCCAGCTAAGCCATACCCAAACTCCTTACCCACAGAAACAGATTTTTATGTTGTTTTAAAGTACTACATTTGGCTGGGCACAGTGGTTCATGCCTGTAATCACAGCACTTTGGGAGGCCAAGGTGGGTGAATCACTTAAGGCCAGGAGTTCCAGACCAGCCTGACCAATATGGTGAAACCCTGTCTCTACCAAAAATACAAAAATTAGCGGGGCATGGTGACAGGCACCTATAATTGCAGCCACCTGGGAGGCTGAGGCAGGAGAATTGCTTGAACCCAGGAGGCAGAGGTTGCAGTGAGCCGAGATCGTGCCACTGCACTCCAGCCTGGGTGACAGAGCGAGACTCTTGTCTCCAAAAAAATTTTAAAAATTGAAAATAAATAAAATGCAGATTCTGATTCCTTAGGTATGGGGTGGGGCCTGGGATTTTGTATTGCTAAGAAGCTGCCCAGTGATGTAGTGGTATTGCTTGGTCCAGGACCATACTTTGAGGAGTGGGTGTGGACACCTCCACGGTGCCTATCACTCAACAGCCCCTACTTACAGAATGGGCCTTGCTTCATGTGGGTGCCATGTGGCCCCATCCCCTGGCCACAGCTGACTGGCCCAGGAATGGCCATTGGACCCAAGATGGGCCCTTTAGAGGCTCCTGGGAAGTGAGACAGTAACATTAAGCCAATTGTGGGTCGGTGTGGACACAGAGAGGTCGTGTTGTCCCAGGCTGAGGCAGTCCTTGTCTGCCTTGGGAAATGGAAGCGGTGAGGCTGTGGAGAGAGGCTGGAAGGAGCAGCTTCCCAGCTCAGAGAGACTCAATCCTGCCTCCCATTCCTTGCTGCACTAACTGTCCCACATCCTTCCCAGGTATACCCCTATTGCCTGATGCTGTGTTACCAGGGGGGAGGGTGTCCAGGTTCTTGGCATTGTGAACAAAGAATTGGACAAAACACACAAAGCAAGGAAAGAATGAAGAAATTTATTGAAAATGAAAGGACACTCCACAGTGTGGGAGAGGGCCAAGCATAGGGACTCAAGGGCCCCGTTACAGAATTTTCTGGGGTTTAAATACCCACTAGAAGTTTCCATCGTTCCTTGGTATATGCTCTATGTAAATGAAGAGGATGAAGTAAAGTCACAAAGCCATTTATTTGGCATACGACGTAAATGGTGAGCATATTTCCTGGCATGGCTGAAGTGTGAATTGGCCTTATGTTCCCTGCCTGCAGACCCTATTTGCATGCCTTAGCTGGAGTGACGTCTCATCCCTCTGAATGCTGCGGAGCCCGAGCCGTCACTGGTTTTTCTCGGGCTGTCTCCTTTGGTTGAAGTTCACAACAACAGTGCTCTTCCCTAACACGCTTCACACACTTGGCCGATTGTGTTCTTGGATTAAGTTCTTAGTCGTGGATGCCTGCCAGAAAGGTTGTGCTTGCTGGGCACCGTGGCTTACACCTGTTATCTCAGCACTTCACGAGGCAGGAGTTCAAGACCAGCCTGGGCAACATAGCAAGACCTTATTTCAATAATAAAAAAATAAAAAATTTTAAAAATAGGCTGGGCACAGTGCTTCACCCCTGTAATCCCAGCACTTTGGGGGGGCCGAGGTGGGCGGATCAGGAAGTCAAGAGATAGAAGCCATTCTGGCTGACATAATGAAACCCTGTCTCTACTAAAAATACAAAAATTAGCCAGGCTTGGTGGGTGCACCTGTAGTCCCTGCTACTCGGGAGGCTGAGGCAGGAGAATCCCTGGAACCCGGAAGGCAGAGGTTACAGTGAGCCAAGCTCGCACCACTGTAATCCAGCCTGGGCGACAGAGTGAGACTCTGTGTCAAAAAATAAATAAATAAATAATTTTAAAATAATAATATAAATGATAATAATAAAGGTTGTATCAAGTTATGTTTTCCTAGTAGCATGAGAGCATGCCCTGGTTTCTGACCTGTTTCTGTTTCTCAAATAGAGAAAAACTGGACAGCCTGTGAATGGAAAGTTCTAGCATCTGCTGACCTAACTCAGCTCAAATCCTTCAGACCTCTGAGATGGAAGGGGCCCCAGAAGTCTCCAAGGCCAGCCCCACCTCAGGTGCAGCATCCATCCTGGGGCTCTGCAGGCCAGCTGGAGCACTCAGTGGCAGCCGACTGGCTCCTGTCTCCCCTCTCAGAGCTCACAGAATAAACATCATCCCTCTCCTGGGACAGTTTGTTAGGTGTCTCACGTAGTGGTGATTTCCTTAAAATTTTTGTTATTCTGGGAAACAATGCATAATATAAAATGTACCGGCCTAATCATTTCCTTTTTTTTTTTTTTTGAGACGGAGTGATGCTCTGTCACCTAGGCTGGCATGCAATGGCATGATCCCAGCTCACTGCAACCTCTGCCTCCAGGGTTCAAGCGATTCTCCTGCTTCAGCCTCACAAGCAACTGGGATGACAGGTTTCCACCACCATGCCCAACTAATTTTTTGTACTTTTAGTAGAGACAGAGTTTCACCATGATGACCAGGCTGGTCTCAAACTCGTGACCTCAGGTGATCCACCACCTCGGCCTCCCAAAGTGCTGGGATTACAGGCATGAGCCACCACACCTGGCTTCATCCTGATTTTTTTTTCTTTTTTTTTTCTGAGATGGAGCCTCACTCTGTTGACCAGGCTAGAGTGCAGTGGCACAGTCTCAGCTCACTGCAACCTCCGCCTCCTGGGTTCAAACAATTCTCCTGGCTTAGCCTCCCGAGTAGCTAGAATTACAGGCACCTGCCACCATACCTGGCTAATTTTTTGTATTTTTAGTAGAGATGGGGTTTCACCATGTTAGTCAGGCTGGTC